CATGCCTGTAATTCCGGCTACTTGGAAGGCTGAGGCGGAAGGATCGCCAGAGCCCAGCAGGTCGAGGCTGTGGTGGTCGGAAGCGGCCACTGCACTCCAGTCTGGGCGACAGAGTGAGACTCCAACTCAAAAAAATATAAAAATTAAAATAAAAAATAAATAAATAAATAAAAATTCCTTATCTCTTAGGGCTGCATATGAAAACATTCATAAATACATTGAGATGGCATCTGCAATTTGTCTCAATATAATAAAGAATGAGGGAAAGAGGACAGGAATGTAGACAAAGCAAGAATGGCCAAGATTTCATAATTACTTGGACTAGGTAAATAGGTACATGTGGTTTATTATACTCTTCTGTCTATTTTGCACATGCTCAAAATTCTTCACAATAAAGTATTTTTAAAAATTTAAGCTAGGATGGAGGTCTTCTGATTTTGATAACAGAAGATTAGATAATATAGACTAACCCATCCACTAAAGATTGCTAGAAAAAGCTGGACAAAATATAAAAGACATTTGCTTGAAGGCACAGAAGGATAACCAGATACTAAAAAAAAAAAAAAAAAAAAAAAAAAATTCCAGGCACATCAGGGCTAAATGGAGGGCCAGAGAGACAAAGTTAGCATCTGGGGATGCTTTTTGCCTAGGGCATTTCCCAAATCTTGAAAGAGTAGATGAGAGTAGTTTTCTTAACAACTTCACAGAGATGAGGAGACAAAGACTGCAGTCCAGAGCCTACCTAGGTGAACCCTTTGAAACACCATTTCACTGGGCTGGAAACTCAAAAGACCAAAACACAAAAATATGGTAAATCATACATAATACAAGTCCCTGAAAAGACTGCCACTTAGCTCTGAGCCATTCTCAATCCTTAAATCAGATTTAGATGATTTTGGATCATAGGAACCTAGTACAAATAAATATAAGCCTTCTATAAAGGAAGACAATATTGTCCTAGACCTCTAAATTATATTTATAAACGATTATGCAAATACTGTCTGGCACAAAATTGTAACGAACTAAACACAAAAGTAGACCTGACAACATAAATAAATCAGCAAAATAAATTAGTAGAAACTAAACTAAGACAATGACACTACTAGACTTAAAAGTAACTCTGTTTACTGTTTATTAGGAGCTAAAAGACAAAACTAAAATTTCAGAGAAAATTGGAAAACTTAATGAAAGAATAAAATAGAGATTTTTTTTTTTTTTTTGAGTTGGAGTCTCACTCTGTTGCCCAGACTGGAGTGCAGAGGCCGCTCCCGGCCACCGCAACCTCAACCTGCTGGGCAACTGCGATCCTTCCACCTCAGCCTTCCAAGTAGCTGGAACTCCAGGCATGTGCTACCACACCCAGCTGATTTTTTTTTT